CCACTGTGATTAGATATAACAAACACCCAAGTAACTTAATCCAACTTAGAAAATTTACACACACACAAAACCATTCCACATGTCTCAACATTAGGGTTAGGAAAATGCAGGATTTCCCATTGAACTTTCAGAAAGGAGATTCGCAATGTTAGCTAAGTGCTTTGGATATCGCACTGGTCCCGTCTCTGGGGTACTCTGCAACCCAGTTGTTTGTATTTAGGGCAACCTTATCATTTATCAAGCAAACCCAGACACCTCTGAGACAAAAAGAGGGAGGTAATCAGGCAGAAAAGCAGCACGAAATCCAGGGGACTGGCTCTACCTGTATTACACCTAGTGGGGAAAGGACATAGGATACCGGTAAGGCTTACCGGTTTGGAGATACACAGAATAATATTCTGATGTCTTACAATATACAATCTAGGATACTTTATATATTAATAAAACCAGATCATTCAATGGAACACATTCAGAGTCTAGGAAGACTTGTTGAGGTGCACCGTAAATCAACCCTGAAAGTGAGCATAAAGGAAACCACCGGGACAAATTTTTCAGGAATTTCTGAAAGAAGTGCTGTGTACATAAATGTAATGGTACAAGCCAATGTTACCCGCAGTAAAGAAATACTCTCGAGAGGACCCACTTCCAAGAGCGTCCTTCGATAGCTCAGTTGGTAGAGCGGAGGACTGTAGGTGGCTGCACTAGACATCCTTAGGTCGCTGGTTCGAATCCGGCTCGAAGGACAAGAGTTTTGGTAATCACGGACTTCAAAAACTAGACTCGTATGATTTAGCTCTTTACCAAAATTAAAGAACATCTCCTTTCTGTCTGTGAAATATTCTCACCAAGCCCCAATAAGGCTGCTACTTAGTTCGGACGGTATCCTTTCTTGCTGCTGTGAAATATGTCCGGAATAAGCTAGTAAAGCCAGAAAATGATTTCCAGTAGATCTTACTTTTTCCAAGAAATCTGACTTTTCATTCAGGAAATTCACACTCCCCACTACCTAGCCCCCTCGCCTGCCAGCCCAACCCCAGCGGCCTCCGGGATTCTCGCGCCTTCCTTGTTTCCCGCCTGCGATTATCCTGGCAGTTTTGATTCTCACCTCCACCCCCTCACCTCCTCCTCCTCCCCTGCCCCAGGCAGAGGCGGAACCGCGTCGTGCATCCGGATTCTTGGCCGATCCAAGGCGGTATCGGGGCCTAGCCGGCTCGAGAACAGCGCGGAGCTGGGAGCATTCCCTGCCCCCAAAGTTCTCGTTTTAATTTGTGTGGAGATTCGGGTGCCTTTGGGGGTCCTCTGTTCTTTTAGTAGTTTTTGCAGAAGCCTTTTCTTAGGAATAATTTCAAACTTACCCCCAAAGTAGGAAATAATATCATGAACGTCATCGTACACTGGTATCTCCCAGATGTAACCGCCGTTGTTGCACATTCACCCCAAATTCCACCCCCAGCCTCTGATCTTGCTGCACAATTCAAGATGGCGCCCCCTGGCGGACACGTCCCCGGGCAATGAGCTGGGGCGGAGAGCCCAGGGGACTGCGGCCCCCCGGGTGGAGGGGGTCCCCTGGGTGGTGCCTTGAGAACTGGATCAGGAGAGCAGTGAGAGCCCCGCCAGTCTGGGCCCGAAGTTCGAGAGTCTTCTGCCTTACCCCAAGTAGCAGCTGGTAGGAGGGAGTCTACTCCCACCGACTCTGCCAGTGTAGACCTTCCTGGGTTAGGCCCAGTTGCTACACTAATATGGGCGCTGAGTCGCTAAGGAATGAACTTCTGAAGTCAGTTTTCAACTGACAACTGCCCTTTTCCAGTTGAAAAAGACAGGCAGGACGTGATTGTAATGAGGTGGGTGGATTGCCTTGTATTCCTAGGGTGCTATAGCGAAAGAGCGTTCCAGCGATGAAAGTGCGACTTTAAAGGCCCTGTAGTGGGAATCGAATCTTGTGCTCAGATTAATTTACAGGTTAAAAAAAAAATTGATGACTTATATTATTAAAAATTTGATGAAATCAGCTCTTGCAGTTTTTGAGTAATATTGTAACAGGCTGGTCCCCAGGAAAAGGGGAGGTTCCAGGTTACCCGTCGCCACCCAAAAGGAGGGTAGAGATGAGGAAGGAAGAAAAGAATCTGGAGAGGAGACTGAAAAGGAAGGAAGCAGAATGGAGAGCCAGAAGGAGGCTTGAGGGAGGCACATGGAGCAGGGAGAGGTGTGAAGAGACTGTGCTTGCTTCTTCTTGGCCATGGACTGGTAGAAGGGATGTGGGTGTGGGACCCATGGGGAGGTTGACTATGGCAGTATTAATATTGATTTTGATTTTGCTCTTTTCCTCCCAGACTTGTCTGGCCATTTCTGACCCTTTTCTATGGAACCGGGACAGAAGTTGCTTTAGGCTTGTGACAGCCTTCAGGCCTTGCTCTGGACCAGTCCCTTTTGGGTGGACTTTTACTCAGGAGGGGATGGGCAACTTTGGGTGTTTGATCTAGAAACCACATCCTTTGTCTTTTCTGTATTGCACACTCACTGTATTAAAGTTCCTTTCCATTAAAGGTCATATATGTTTTGTCTTGATGCGGCAGGACCTATTTAGAGCAGTCAGGTTTGGGGGCTTAGGGGTGCCCCCTCTCTGCCCTGTAACAATATCAACTTTCAATGTCTTGTGACTGTGAGAGATGAGGTTCTGGGACCTCAAATGAGAATTTGTGCCTTAATGCTAGAGATGAAAAAAAATACCGGGACTTTTTCAAGCCCCATCGCTGCCTTCTTGAAAACTGGTGAATTTTCTGTTTGGGGACTTTTTCAAGCCCCATCGCTGCCTTCTTGAAAACTGGTGAATTTCTGTTTGAGAGAGAATGTAAATTGAGATCCTACAGTTTGGTTGCTCTCACATTTGTGTGTCTGGTGTCCAAAGCGCAGTTAGGACGCTAGGTATATGGAAGAGACTATCTCACACAAAAACTATGTCTGTGACTTTCTATTCTGGCTTGCCATATGTTCCCTGGATGAGGTTAGCTTATTGAAAAGTAAGGTAGAAATTATTTAAAAGTAAAGTAATATAGTAGGCCATATACGCTTACTTTTTCTAAAAAGGAATTCAATAGCTGAATTAAATATTATATGCTGCAGGTACTTCAATTGGAAATCATTGGACAGGACTCTGAAGGAAAAGATGCTATTTATTTTTTTCTAGATACAGTTATGGAGAGCTTTAATTTTGATAAACAATGACCTTTTATAACAAATTCACTAAAAATTGTTCCATAAATACATCATAGTTTTGAGAAGACTACCCAGGTTTCTCCATGGTTGGTCGTTGCTGTCTTGGCGCTAGAAAGAGAAATGCCACCAGATGGCGCTCGTTAACAACACATGGCAGCATCTCTGTGATGAAAGTGCACTTTTTTTCTTTAAACTAGGGAACAGGTGGTGTTTTCATTTATTGCCCCCCTATAACAAGAGCCACTCAGTGACTAAAGACACACGCGTACACATCACCTCTCAATTTCTCTACACATTTTCCCTGCCCCTTCAAAAAGGAGGACATTAAATTATAACTCAAACTAGTCTTCTAGATTCAGGAGGAACTTTTCGCTTTCTAGGGAGGAGGCACTAAGCAGAGGTGAGGTGTGTGTGTGGTGGGGGGGAAGGTGGAGTTAGGGATAACAGGAATAGTAAGGGTCAAGGTCCTATCTACATTAAACCTAAGGGACTAGGACAAAGAATACTTGGTTGTTTCTTTAGACCTACATACACAGTGAAAAGCAGAAATCCTGCGTGTTCAAGGGATTATTTTACAGCACAATTCTGTAATCACTGCCTACATCAGTTTTAGAACATCTCTAGCACCTTAGAAACTTTTGCATGTACATATATTTAAAAAGCAAATGTCAGCGAAGCAAAACTATTAGGATATTTAAGATGTCTGAAGATGGTGCAACACAGAGCCTTCGATAGCTCAGTTGGTAGGGCGGAGGACTGTAGTGGGTCTTTCCTAGACATCCTTAGGTCGCTGGTTCGAATCCGGCTCGAAGGACTGACCTTTTAAAAGCCTGACACCCTGCAGGCTGGCAGTGAGCCAGAGGTCGTCATTTGTTCTTGTAGGAGAACTCAAGCTCAAAATAAACAACCCTCAGGTACCAGGGGCTTCAATGTAGGTGCACTGGGTCCTTGAAGTTGGATAGGAAGAATGAATTTCTTGGAGTTAAGATGAGGACCCTAAGGAGTTCAAATAACGGCAAGGACGCCCAATGCTATCTACTGTCTGTTTTGGAGGCTCGATGGCCTTTTAGGGGTTCTGTTATGTAGGTGGCCCAAAGATCCTATATAGAACGCTTTGGGGAGAATCGAGGCCACTTGAACACAACGACACGTTTCTAATATAACAAAAATCACATTTTTAAGTTAATATTTTCTACTAAAACATGGGCATCTTAAACTAAAAGTTCATAATTTTTCATAACTCAAATCTGAACAATGCCCCTAGCAAAATTTTAATTTAAAAATATTCAAAACTCTCAACTTTGAAGAATTTCAGATTTTAAACAATTGTAAGCACTTAAATTTAAGTAAAACTTACAAGGTGAGTCAGCCCCTAACTGGAGGTGCACCCAGGATGCTTATTTTGATCTTTGGAACCCAAAGACTTCACTCTATTCCCCAAATAGCTATACCTCAGCCGACCTCAACTCTACTTTCTTCCGCATTTCCCCAAGATATAAATAAATGCAGAGTCAGCGACACTTGGCCATCCACCTCTTTCGGGTCAGTCTCCAGTTAGAGACGCAGGTTCAGGTTAGCTCCGCCACGCTGAAGCGCTGCTCCAGTTCTCGCGATAAGAAGCGATGAGACTATCGCGGCTGAACTGGGCGCCCACTTCCGCCCGCAGCACTTGTTCGGGACCCGCCCACGGTGCCCAAATTGTGCCTTTCATTTGTTATCACCACATAGGTCCCGCCTTCCCACCCTGACGTCACACAACAGGCGCGTCATTCTGCGCGACGCTTTCCGGCTGGCTTGGTCCTGGCATCCGCAAGCATGGAGGCTGACGAGTCGGAAAAGGAGGCTGAAGGATTAGAGGAGGACGCCGTCGATCAGGAACCCCTGGAAGAGACAGACCAGAAGCCAGAGGTGGAGGAGGACCCGGAGGAACCCGAAGAGGCGGCTTGCAGCGGCAAGAAGCGGGTAGTGCCCGGTATTGTGTACCTGGGCCATCTCCCGCCTCGCTTTCGGCCTCTGCACGTACGGAACCTTCTCAGCGCCTACGGGGAGGTCGGACGCGTTTTCTTCCAGCCGGAGGGTGAGTGTGCAGGGCCAGGCAGTGAGGGGAGGAGGAGGGTGGCACGTTCCTGGCACCATCCTCTGGCAGTCTGAGCCTTACAGGTTTCGGGCCTCGATTCTGGGGACCCGGGGCAGGCCCCTTTGGTAACTCGGAGGTGCACGTGTCTGTGACGTGGTGGGTCCGTGTGGGTAAGCGCAGAACACCCCCGCAGAACTTTACTTTCAGGATAGTTTTTGGGTTTAATTTCGCCTCTACCCACCTCTGTTTCCGCACCTGAATTTGCTGGATTCAGTACAGCCTGAGTAAAGATTTCCATGACTTTTTCACATAACTGAGCACATTTGTCATTGTGGCCCAGAGACGGGTATCCCAACACCCGCCTCCATCTCCCTTACAGGCACGAATTGCAGTTGGGGGGATCTTTGCAGATTTAAAGAGAATCTAATGTGTTGACCTGATTTAGAAGTTGACAGTTGAGGACAGGATTGAGTTAGACATGGGGAAACAGTGGCCTTACAGATTTCCCCATCCTGGCAAAGGCTTTAAGGTAGGAATCCGGTCTTGCCCTCAGATTCAGAGAACTGGGCCAGTGGGAGGTGCAGTTGCCCAGTGCTGCATCTTCCCCTTGACCACTTCTCTCTTTGTCACACAGATGGGTTTGTGAGGCGAAAAAAGAAGGCAGCAGCAGCTGCGGGAGGAAAAAAACGATCCAAGTACAGCAAGGACTACACCGAGGGCTGGGTGGAGTTCCGGGACAAGCGAGTGGCTAAGAGAGTGGCTGCCAGTCTGCACAACACGCCCATGGGCTCGCGCAGGCGCAGCCCCTTCCGTTATGACCTGTGGAACCTCAAGGTGAGGGTATCGGCTTGTCTGCGCGACTTCCCAGTCGTAACCCAGGCTCTTTGGCCTCTTGTCTCTACTTCCGTCTCCTCCAGCCCTGGCCTGACCAGATCTTTTCTTGCTTTCTCGTCTGCAGTACCTGCACCGGTTTACCTGGTCCCACCTCAGTGAGCATCTTGCCTTTGAGCGGCAAGTGCGCAGGCAGCGCCTGAGGGCTGAGGTTGCCCAGGCTAAACGCGAGACTGACTTTTATCTTCGAAGTGTGGAGCGAGGAAAGCGCTTTCTTGCTGCGGATGGGGACTCTACCCGCCCAAATGGCTCTTGGGCCTTTGCCCAGCGTCCTACAGAGCAGGAATTAAGGGCCCGGAAAGCAGCTCGACCAGGGGAACGTGAACGGGCTCGGCTGGCTAACATCCAGGACCAGGCCCGCTCCAACCGAGGTCTTCTTGCCAGGATCTTTGGAGCCCCACCACCCTCAGAGAAAGTAGAAAAAACTTAACTGGCCGAGGACTCTTGAGGATTAGGAAGGCTTCTTCCTTCTAGCCCATCTCTGCTTCCTTTCTGCGTGATAATGACTATCCAGGCAAACTATCTAGTCTGTTTCTCAGCCCAGGAGTCTTGGATGAGTACTCAGACATAGAACTTTGTGGATCTTTCCTCTTCATCTCTTAAGCATGCCTGACGGAGGCACCTGATTCACACACTGGATTATGACTACCATGGATCCAGTTTTGTCTTACTTGATTGTTGACTGCCTGCCTTCTACCCAGTGGGGCGCTATAAAAATCCCACTTCCTGCTCCCAGGAAAGAACCTTTAGTTCAAGTGAGAGTGAAAAGGGCTATTCCGGGCAACAATTTACCTACCACAGCTAAAAGCAGCAGCACATCCTTTTTACTTAGAAAAGATTAACAGGAACAGGGACTCATGGGCTAGGTCTGGGTTAGGAGCTGTCTTCCAAATGTATGTATAGAAAGAAAAAAGCAACTTATTTATATGCTTTTGCAGTTTTGTTGATAGAGGTTTTGAGGGGGAGACTGTTGAATAAATTTCAGTTACTATCTCTTGTGTCTCATAACCATTCATAACCTTTCTTTCATCTCTTGGTCTTAGGGGTCCCCTACGCTCACCCATTCAACGTATTCTCTTTCTAAATTTCTTAGCCCACTTTACTATCAGTAGTTACCAAGTTTCTATACGAGACAAAATGATAGTAGATAATGTCACATGGCTCTTGATGTTGAGTCTTAAGATTGCTAAAACAAGACATTAAAAACAAGTACACAGAGGTGCTCAGAGCGTGTGAGGGTGGTGTGGGAGAGTGTGGTCGACTCTGGGAAGGTAAACAGTGCCGTCAATGGACAGCTGATTCCTGGTCACAGTCTTAAGAAATGAGTCCATTTTCAACTTGTACAGATCATTCCCAAAGTCCCAAAGCGCCCGGGATTTCTTAAAATTGTAAGGAAAGTTCCATGGACAGGGTATTGACTTCAAACCAGAGTAAAGGAGTAACCAGATAGAGGAACTGAAAATAGATGTCAAAATGAGTGTACTACTCCTTGGAGATTAAAACTCCTGTCAATATCCAGGTGGTTAAATTTACAGGCAGTGGTGGAATGATAATTTCGGTGTTTTTTTTTGTGCTGTTTTCTTTTCTTCATTGTCAACATAAATAGCCATGCGTCCTCTTTTATAAAATGGATTCATCCACTTCTTTGATGCTAACACATTGTTTAGGAGAAGAAAAATGCCCAGTAAAAATTATGTTGTACCTGGTGTAACATTTCCCACAATCCTTATACCTCTCACATCTAGCACTCAAATAATCTCCTTGGTAATGTTACTCCCTCATCTTAGGAACTTTTAGCTTTGTGTCCATGTTTACTTCTTAGAAGCATTTCATGCAGATTGTTTCTTCAGGTCATGTCTTACAAGTAAACCAGAAAATCCCATTGTCATATTCATTTATTCAAAATTTTGAGTGCCCTTTCCCTGCCTTTGCTAGATAAACGCTAAGGTCAAGAAGCTTCTTACCCCTGCCCTCCAGGTGCTAACAGCTTAGAAAGTAAATTATAGGACTAATTTCTTGCATGGATGACAGAAATTGTGTTTCCAAGCCAGTTGGTGTTAGGTATCTAGAGGGTTCACACTTGCAGCCAGGTCAGTCAGCTGAATAAGTCAGGAAGGAAGAAAGTAGAAGGAAGAAAATCAACTTCCTAGAACTTACCTTTATTCCTTCTAGAATTTAAGCTCTTTGTGGGCAGCAAATTGATTTTTCTTTTCTTTTTTTTTTCTAAGATGTATTTATTCATACAGAACTGGGGTACAGGCCAGAGGTGCAGGGGTGGTGAGAGGCTTCACCAGAGACAAAGTGGGGAGCAGAACAGGCAGGTAGAAGTATATTGCTGGGGGGAGCAGTGGGTGGGTGGGTCATGTGGCAGGAACCACAGCGCTTCCACATTGTCACTAATGGGGGAGGGGGGGCAGGAGGGGCACTCTTGGAGGGAGGGAGGGACTCGGATTGCTCAGTGCCCAGAAAGAATCACGAAGAATGGTTACAACCCACGTGGGACCCTGTGTCTTTGACTTTTAGGTCTTGAAATCAAATCATACTGTGGTGAATTAACTTTTATATCTTAGGTCTTTGAATACTAAAAACAATCCTTGAAAGGTACTTACATAATTTTAAAACAAAAGTGTACACTGTCCTAACTTATTTTAAATCTGTCAAATATGGCAAAAGAATTCACAAAAATGTTATTAATGGGTTTTCATATTCCCTGTTCAAGTATGAATGTTTATTCTTTTTTTTTACTCATTCGTTTGTTTTGCATTAGATAAGAATAAAGCATGCATTGATTTGACAATGAAATAAACCTAATTACCAAAAATAAACATGAAGATAGTTTAAATAAGGGAAACTGCTAACAAATCATATGAGGATATTCAAAAATTAGCTCAGTGTTTCAAGGACAATGTCATATTTTTATAAAGTTCTTTCAAAGAGTAACAGGACTTAATAAACATACCTACTAAAATAGTTTTTATACTATTTTAATGCTTAAAAAACAAAGTAGCCAAGTTATCAGAACTCTAATGAAACTTTGGGAAAATTGAGTAACAAATATTCAATCTTATAACTGTAGTATGATGCAGGTATGATGATAACTTCAAGTTTACTGAGATACAGAGGAGTTAATAAACTTCTGATATTCATAAAACTAGTAGGTAACAGGACAGGGTTTAAATGAGGCATTCAGCCTCCAGCTCCGTGCTGTTAATCTGTATATGTTTTTACATATTTGAAGGCTCATTTTCAGGCAGATAAGCCAATGATGGCACAGCAGGAAAACAGTACCAGATGGGACATAAACAATTTGCAATCACATGCAAGCAGGCTCCTTTGCAGTCATCATCCACCTGTGGGTTCATGTTTTCATCCACTCATGAATTCTGATACAGCTAGACTGAATTCCCACCAACGTTTATATACATAGAATTTTCTGTTAGGTTCTTGACCATTATTCTTTGCTGCCATGATCTTTATTTTTGCTTTTCCCTCCGCACCTCACCACCAGTTTTTGTTTTCATTGTAAATTTTCATTTCACTCCCCTGAGTGGAAAGCTCCCATCTGCTGTGAATCTCAGCTCAGGGTTTTTGTACCTAGCACCTAAGTTGTGCTAATGTTGGGGGGGCAGGATGTCCTGAACAAATTCCACAGGTTTTATGGACCCCACCCCCACCCCAGACCAAGGCCATCCAAGACTCCAAGGACTACAAATCCCATAATGCCATCACCACTGAAGGGAGGATGCTGGGAATGGAGGGTGGATTTAAGCAGCCAGGCCTGTACCAGGCCTTGGGTTTTACCCTCCCAGCCTTCAGCGTGCCGTTGGGGTTCCAGCTCATTGGAACTGGTAGGACTCATTCACCATCTTAACTCTCTTTCTCCCTGAGTTACTCATTTCTTCATTTCCCCTTTTTTTAAGTAGCCCTTTATTCCCCCTTTTTGTGTGTACCTGCAGCCGAGTCTATTAGAAGTCCCTTTTTTTTTTT